GGAAAGCAGCGGGGCTCGCTGCTTGCTGCCTACCTCACGGGAGTGAGTTTCCAAGGGCTTCACCCTCGGCCAGAGTGTCTGTGCCCAGGCCCGTTCAGACAGTGGCCTGGGACCGAACTGCTTAGGGCAACCCCAACCACCCAGGCACAAACGTGTGGCGCTTCACGTTGGCCACGCTTCCTGCTGTGACCACGTTGCTGGAAGAGCCTAGAAGGATCACAAAAAATTCTGATTCTCACGAGCAAGGCGGATGTAACCAACTGGCGCGTGGCAACTCTCTGGCGTCGACAAAGACTTGCAAAAATTGACGAGTTCAGGCTCGTTGAGATCCAGGTGCCCGCCTTCACTTAGGGCAGGCACGCTTCTGCTGCAGGGGTCTTATGCAGGTATGCTGAGGGTACAACCCTCGCAATTAGTATATATTATTATATTCGGGTAATTATTTATCGTCAAACAGAGCTTCCCGGTAAACCATGGGCAGAGAGGGAGAAGAGGACAAAAAACAACGGGCTGTGAATAATGATCATAAGTTTCATAACCATATATATTTTATATTTTCACATATATTTTATATTCTCATATATATTTTTATTATTTTATACGTTTGCCCACAAAGGTTGACAATGCAACATTTCCTAATTTCGCACAATTCGAACATATATGTTGATTGGAGTCATGTGCAAAGACTTTCGGGCTCTTCGAGCAACGTGGTCGAAGCAGGGAAGACCGCACGTTTGTGCCTGGGTGGTTGCGCATGCCTAACCAATTCGGTCCCAAGCCACTGTCTGAACAGGCCTGGCCGCAGACACTTTGGCCGAGACTGAAGCTACTGGAAACTCAGCCTCACAGGGAAAGCGGAAGGCGATGCGCCCTGCCACTTTCCATATAGGAAAGGGCTGGTCTACGGGCCAGACATTCGGGTACTTGGTAGACCAGGTGGCAGCGCTGCTGGAGCGAACGCTCGTGTGCTGCTGCTAGCTGCTAGCGCAAGTGTCCGTGCCTGCGTGCAGGGTGTACAGTGCTGCTGTGGGCAGCCCCTCGTAGTCGGGCTTGGCTTGGACATAGCCAGCGGATGTGGTGGTGGTCTTCTTGTATGAGGAGGAAGACGTGGGTAGAGAAGACGAGAGAGAGAGAGAGAGAGAGAGAGAGAGAGAGAGAGAGAGAGAGAGAGAGAGAGAGAGAGA